CACCAGAAGACGACGGCCGATTCCTCTTGACCAGCTGTCGATTGGCTTTACTGCAAGATTCATGCTGACGTTGTTTCCGATGAAAACGTGCTAAGCTTTCGTCGATCAAATGACGAACATCATCAGAGCAAGGTATCATCGTCACAACAAAATTCAAGCTAACGAGTCAAGAAAACTCATCGGAAAATCCCTAAAAAGTGATGTCTATACTGTACATCTGACCTCTTAGATCAGGAATAAAGTCGTTGTCTTCTGTTGGAATCGACCTTGGAATCTATTTACCAATTACTTTCACTCGAGATGGAAGTAAGCTCAACAAGCTTAGGTTATATGAGATGTATTCACCCAATTTCGTTTAAGTTAATGAAGGACTGGTACAAAAAAGAATTTTCCCACAATGATATGAGATAAGCTGACGTTTCCATTGAATTTCACATAACCTTGTTTCCTAAAAGTTGTTCTCATCCTGGTGTTGTTAAGACGGATGCGAGGTCGAAACTGCAGTCCACTGGTGCCTGGGTGAGAACAACCTTTTGGGAAAGCAAGGCCATGTGAAATTGAATGGAAACGTCAGCTCGACTCATATCATTGTGGGAAAATTCTTTTTTTTACCAGTCCTTCATCAACTTAAACGAAATTGGGTGAATATATCTCATCTTACTGACTTATTGGTAGTCTCGAGACAATACTTAATGCGAAAAATAAAGCTTAGGTTAATTGTAAAAATAATTTTCGTCAAATGGCATGTCAGTCGAAAGGTCTGCATGTTTTCATCGAACCTGAAAGCGATTGACTCGAGAACCTCATCATTCCGAAACCACTTTCACCTTCTCAAAGGAAACGACGTAAGCAAATCTCTACATCACATGCTCTCGACCAAGTTAGACTTTTGCGAGTTTTGTATTAGTCATAGTTTCAGAGAGTTTAGATTCTTGAACCCATAAACCTATACATGTATGCCAAGATATGCTTTTCCTCGTAAATACTTTTCCGTCGTATGAAAAGGGTGGGAAGAACAAGTCTGCCACAATCCAAGCTAGTGATAGGGGAGCAGATATATAATATAATAATAGTATATAATAATACAGTGTCATACTATAACAAATATTAAATTACTATTTGTAAAGGACGATAATAACTATATATTCTTATAATAACATAAAATATTATTTGTATAGTATGTACACATATACTAATAGATATATTAATTTAGATAGTCTGAATATAATAATGATATAATCATTTCAAAGTTGGGAGTGGAAATGGGCGCTGTCACAAAGTTCACGAGTCGTATTGAGGATTGCTGCAAGACATTTACTCTCAAGGCAATAGAAGAGAGCAATGTCATCCAGAACTAAATGTTGGCTTTCCAGCACAAGGTTGCACAACCCATGTAGAGGATAGCCGGACAAGTGGGCTGATGCCAGGAATTGGATGAGATGATTTCTGATCCGGCCTTAGCCTAGCCTCGGTGAATGAAGACTCGGATCAGAACTGCGCGACACTCATGATGACCGCTCGCCCAGTTTTGGCGTGCCTGGCCGACAAATGGCTCTATCTTAATGCAGTTCAACTTGGCCGTTAGAAGGAAAAGTTGGTCGGATGGGATTTGGGAACTGGCTTTAGGGGATATCGAAAGAAGATTGTCATCGAGGGGAGATGAGATGGTTGGATTGTGCTAAATCGTGCTCGGATCACCGATCTGCGACGTCTCGATCCGTCTCGATACGGCAAAATCTCACTGAATAAATTGGCTCAAGAAACGGTTGGCCGGTTGCAATCACATTCACTTCATATATTTGACTATGTGATCCCACCAAGGCATCTCACGATTTTGTTGGTCACTTCAAACATTCCCCACATGATCTTGTTGTCAGGGCGAACGCACCGAGTCCGAAGTCGTCTGCCTTAGTAGTTGTCATGATTCCCAACATCAGACAGTGGACTTGGTATATTCTCAAACGTTTCGTCGGCATCATAGTCGGCATCATCAGTGAGTTTTGCTGGGACTCATGACAACTACTATGGCAAACGACTTCGGACTAGGTGCGTCCTACTAAGTCGCCCTGACAACAAGACCAAGTTGCGACAACGAGGTCAACCCATTTCTATAAAACTAAAGGAGGCTGCGACCCTACCCGAAGCCACAACATTTTGGTCTTCATATCTTCAATTCCCCACGCGCTTGCGCATGTGCAAAGTTGGCGCATGAAAAAGAAGTGAATTTCGTCAAAGCTGGTTGCCTACGGAATTAGGCGAGCGTTTAATCCCACAAGTTCGGCTAACGTTTAGGTGTGTGATATTGTATATTGTGTTTATTCAGTGCCCAAGTTAAGTGAGGTGAGAGAGCAAAAATCACACTCCAGGCTCTTAATGCCTCTTCTTTTTATCAGCTCATCCTGCTACCCCCTCACCTCATTTTCTGAGGTCTCTCAGATATTCACAAATGTTTCCTCCTCATTTTCCTATACTCGTTCGTCCTATCTTGAATGTTGGCTTTTGTATCTTATGCTTCAGTATGATGTACCCACAACTTGAAAAGAGATGTCCTTTAGGCCAGACTATTGCGAGATTTGTATTAGCCAGGAGTTCTGATATTTTCGATATTTAGACCCAATCGTCTAATAGAAGTGATTTTGTGAAATGATAATTTCGCCCTATTTCATTTAAGGTGATGACAATCTGGTAGTGCAATTTTCACACACAAGATATGGGCAGACCTCACATTTCCGTTGAATTGTGCATAATCCCCAGGAGCCGATGGCGGTTTCGACCTCACCGGAACTGGTATCCGCAGCACCTCCAGCGGGACTCGAACTTGTATTGCGACAGTACAGCGTGTAATCTCTACACGTTTCCCACTACGCCGTATTGTCACGAGTGCCCTTGAGTCACAGGGCAGATGCGGATTTCAAGGAACGTCAAAACTTTCCCATGTCACATCCTGTTGTTGGAGTGTTGAGGAAACAAAGCTATATTTCGCTATGACAATCGACTATATTACTTACTTTTCGTTTATAAGTAGAATTTCGCGACATTAAATCAGTTATATGAGAGGAATTCACAATATTTCGTTTAAGGCGATGAAGTGATGTAAGTAGTGTAGTCGATTGTCATAGCAAATAAAGCTTTGCTTTATCGACAAACCTCCAAAGAATGTGATCCCGTAACCCGCACTGGTGGTAATGTGGTTTAGGGGCTAACGCCGCGCTATCACAATCTGGGCTCGAGTCCCGCTGGGGGTGCTGAGAATACCATTTCCGGCGAGGTCGACATTACGCTCCACGCCTGGGTGGTTAAGGATATCTGTTGGAAAGCAAGGCTATGCGAAATGTATTCATCATATTGTGGAAAAACTCAACCGCCAGCTGCTTTATCATCTCCAACGAAATATAATGAATGCACATCTTGTACAAATTAACAGATTGTATATACTTCAAGCCTCTTCAGTTCATCCTGCTACCCTCTCTCTTATTCTCCTGAGACGTCTTAGATATCCACAAATATTTTCTCTTCATTATCCTTTACTCGTTATTCCTATCTTGGGCCATCAATTATATATTATATATATATATATATATATATATAGTCGATTGTCATGATGAAATATAGATTTGTCTCCTTGACACTCTTATATTTAAATATATATATAATTGTATATATATATATATACAGTCAATTTGCCAAAGGTGCTCTCAGCCAGGCACAAGTGGACTGCAGTTTGGAATTTGCGGGAGTCTACTTATAAACGAAAAGTAAGTAATATAGTCGATTGTCATGATGAAATATAGATTTGTCTCCTTGACACTCTTATATTTATATATATATATACATACAATTATATATATATTTAAATGTAAGAGTGTCAAGGAGACAAATCTATATTTCATCATGACAATCGACTATATTACTTACTTTTCGTTTATAAGTAGACTCCCGCGAATTCCAAATTGCAGTCCACTTGTGCCTGGCTGAGAGCACCTTTGGCAAAGTCAATGTAGGCATTAGCTGTACTCATATGATCGTGTGAAAATCGACTACCTCACACGAAATTTGGTGAATACATCTCATATTACTTTTCTACTGTGAGTAACTAACGAAATAAGTTGACAAAAGTGCACCGACCAACCGGCCAACCAACTTGTGTCTGGAAAGGGGCAGTGGAATTGTCGCAAACTTTTGCATAATCTGTACGTTGCTTTTGCTTTTGCTTTTGAAGAGAACACACTTCCCTCCTCGTGGCCCTACCAGACGGCCGAGGGCAACCTGCGCTCGGCCGGACAGACGAGGCAACGCCACACGCCCGGCAACAGCGC